CATGCAGCAGAAAGAAAGGGAAGAAGCATGGATGGAGAGGAACAGAAGGGCAAGGCCAGGACGGGGAGAGGCACCTCGCCAGCAGGCAGGGCCCTCAGCAGAGCCATGAGGCAGGAAGGAGGCATCTCGCGAGCAGCAGCGCTAACAGCCCGACATCCGAGCCTCTGGGAGACGTCACCCACTTGCCAAGTGGGTGCACAAGGCCCCTGGCCGACCCTCTGGGACGGAGACAGCTGGTCCTGGCCCGGCTGGTCACCGAGTGGGGACAGGGCGCCTGTGGGCGGGTGTGAGCATCCCTTTGGTGCCAGTCCACGCTCCTGCTGCACGTGAGGGAGGCAGCTGTGCATCCCCGCATCGCCCAAGCCTTTGGGGAAGGACGGAGGCCGGCTGCCTAGGACGCCCTGCACCGCGGTGGGAGCTGGCGTTTCCCACCCAATCTCTGATACGTTGGACACTGTGGTCGTGAACAGGCGTGAGGCCTCTTAACATTCTGAACACGTGCCCAGGGCTCCTCAGCCTGCGAGTGGAAACAGCGGGGCCTGCTCCGCGGAAGGGACCCCACACACCGGCACCGGCACTGGCACCGGCACCACCAACCCGGCACCGGGACCACCGACCGGCCTGCTTGTTGGAAAGGCCTCCTCAGCACCGTCCTGAGCCCCAACCTCCAGACTTCTAACTCCAAATGCACCTCCTTTTATGACCCATTAAATTGCAAACAGGATGAAAGGAGGGAAATTAAAATACATAGTCAGGCACTCGTAACGGGGTGACACGCAGACCTCAGCCCCGTGTTAACAGGGTAACTATGGACCCGACGTGAGCGGGACAGGCTGACCCCACAGCTTAGATTTCCCTCCTCTTTCTTTTTCTTTCTTTCTTCTCTTTCTCTCGCTTTTTTATTTTTTGGTTAATCCTCACCGGAATATTTTTTCCCCATTGGTTTTCAGAGAGAGTGGAAGGGAGGGGGAGAGGCAAGAAACATTAATGTGAGAGAGACACACACCCTTGACCGGAATCAAACCGGGACCCTTCAGTCCACAGGCCGACACCCCAAGCACTGAGCAGACCAGCCAGGGCTCCCTTCTCTCTGAAAGGGTCACTCAACGAGACACGCCCTCTGCCAATCATTCTAGCGAGGGGCGCAGCCTTCCCATTGGTTTGGCTCCTAAAGCGACAGGCAAGCAGAGGACAACCATGGCAACGGAGAAGCCAACTTTCCGACGGCCGGAGAGCGGCTCCTTCCCACGCGCCGTCTCCTCGCCGCTCAGCACACGGCCCACTCCCTGAACTGTGCGGCCTCACGAAGCACAGACCGTGGCGAGTGAGCTACGCAGGACACACTGACCGAGGCGGCGACAAACCGGAGCGGAAAGGCGGTGGGAAACGCTCCTTCCCCAGAGCGCCTGCCGCCCAGGAGGCCGGTCTACGGACGAGAGGGGCTCCTGGTTCACACGCCCGCGTCCTGACAGAGGCCCGTGTGCGGAGGGGATGAGGGCGGCTCGTCACCGTCACCAGCCCCACGGCCCCGCGAGGCACGGGCCAGGTGAGCCAGGTGTGGCAGACGCACCGCAAACAGCTGCGTGACACCGGGCGTGTCACGGGTTTGACACGGCTGTTCCCCCGTGGCACCGACACAGGCCTGCGGCGGGGGGGGGGGGGGGGAGGGACAGCACACAGCTTTTACTTGTGCTTCTGGGCACATATTCATCTTTTTCTGAAAAAAAATTTTTGTTTATTAAGAAACCGAGTATTTTGTTCTTTTTTGTTAGTCCTCACCCAAGGATGTTTTTCCATTGATTTTTAGAGAGTGGAAGGGAGGGGGAGAGACAGAAACATCGATGTGAAAGAGACACATTGACTGGTTGCCTCCTGCACACACCCGACCAGGGCCAGGGAACCTGCAACCGAGGTATGTACCCTTGACCGGAATCCAACCTGGGACCCTTCGGTCCATGGGCCGGTGCTCTATCCACTGAGCCACCCCGGCCAGGACTGAAACTTAAGTTCTATCAGCCTCCCTCACAGCCTCTGCACAGCAACACGTTTCTGAAAGAATCGTCTCTGGGGGGAGTTTTATTGGTCTGCTTTGTGAAGGTGAGATTTTTTATAAAAACCAACAGCCAAGCCGAGGGGTTCGACGAAGGAGTTGCCGCAGCGCATCTTACCAAACACGTGTCCTGTTCCTCCAGGCGCTCCAGCTCCGTGAGCTCCTCCACCGCGAGGACCGGGCGCCGGGCCGGCTTCTCATCCACGGGCTCCGCGTCCAAGGCCTCGGGGGCGGGAAGGGTCCGGCCCCGCCGGCTGAAGTGGTCGGACTGGAGGGTCAACACAGGACAAATCAACCACAGACACGGGCAGTGGGGGCTGGGCCCGAAGAGGCGCCCGAGGGCTGTGTGGACATGTGGTGAGACCGTTCTTTTTTTTTTTTTCATGGATCTCAGAGAGGAAGGGGGAGAAACATCAATGATGAGAGCCCTGGCCAGTGTGGCTCAGTGGACAGACCGTCGGCCTGGCTGAAGGGTCCCAGGTTCGATTCCGGTCAAGGGCACGTACCTCTGTTGCAGGTTCAATCCCGGCCCTGGTCAGGGCTCGTGCAGGAGGCAACCAATCGATCTGTGTCTCTCACATCGATGTTTCTCTCTGTCTCTCCCCCTCCCTCCCACCTTCTCTAAAAATCAATAGAAAAATATCCTCGGGTGAGGATTAAAAAAAATAATAAAATAAATTTAAAATTTTTTTAAATCTTAACTTTAGATCTCAGCCTCCACCTCACCTCCTCCCAGATGCTGACCTGCCCTGTGGACGTCGTCACTCGGGCTTCTCCCCGCATCCCCTGGGAGAGGGCCCAGGGCGCCCCTGATGGGCCGCAGGGACTCGGAGGGGAGGGGGGCTGGGATCTGCACCGCGAAGCCGCAAAGACAGAGACCGGAGGCCGCCCGCGAGGCCGGCGCTCACCAGTCTGTGATGGCAGAGCGACAGGGCGTCCAGGAGCTCGTCCACGATCCGGTCGGACAGGAAGGAGGCCACGGTCAGCTTCACCTCGCTGTGGGCGGAGCCAGAGAGCACGGCAGCGTTTAATGTAGGAAAAGGGGAATCACCCACCCGACGCCGCGCTCATCAGCCACCGGACGGCGCCCGCTCTGTGCGATGGAAGGAAAGGATGTGTGCACAGGGCCCCGGGCTGCCAACAGGAAGCCGTGAACACACAGGCCATCGCCGTCCTTCGCCATTTCAACCTGCCCTGCCATCCCAGCCCTCGGACTCAGAGGCAGAAACGAGAGCATCTGCATAAAGGCCAACCGACGTGACGGGGGCCACATGGACCACGTGATGGGAGCCACGTGGACACCGTGACAGGAGCCACATGGGCCACGTCACGGGAGCCACAGGGACCGCGTGGCCAGGAGCAAGCCACCCGTTGACAGAAATGGAAACAGCCTGGCCACGGCGAATGAGGGAAGTCCGGTCTGATTGTTGAGCCGCAGTTATGACTCTAGACACCTACCCCTGCCTCTTAGAAACCTTTCCACGCACCACACGGGCCTATGACACGGCTGCCGCCCTGACTCGCCATCTTATTTCGAGAACAGTCGCACTTTCACGGCTGTGCTGCCTTTTATGAACAAACGTCACAAGATGTTCACTGTTCGTGTCTCCTGCCTGACCTTAGAGAAGTGCCCACCCGGCCGGCGGGGCTCAGGGGTGAGCGTCCACCTGTGACCCAGGAGGTCAGGTTCAATTCCCGGTCAGGGCACAGGCCCAGGTTGTGGGTTCCATCTCCAGGAGGGGGCGTGCAGGAGGCATCCAGCCGATGTTTCTCTCTCATTGATGTTTCTCTCTCTCTCCCTTCCTCTCTCTCTAAATATCGATAAAAACCTTTTTTAAAAGGTGCCCCGACCACAGGATGTGGCTGGCAGTTGTCACTAATAAATGACCGAGCCGCTGAGGTTTCGGCCAGAGAGCTGGCATCTGAGTGACACTGTCGCTCTTCGCTGCCCCCAGAATTCAAATCGCACGCGTGTCTTCCGCCTGAACACCCTGCATAAGCGCACACGCGTGTAGTGCAGCGCATTTAAAGGAGCAGGTGCTGGAGAGATCTGTACCCACATCCAGCGGCATCTCCTGCGCTCACGGCTGCTCGGAAGTCAGCAGTGCCGAGGGTCAGGGCAGGGAGGGGTGGGAACGCCTGTGTCACTGTGAGCCCGAGCCTGGACGGGGTGGGAGAGCAGGGAGGCTCCCTACGCTGAAGGCCACCCCTGCACGCATCTCTCTGCCCAGGAAGGTGTCCACACCCGCAGGACAATGAAGGCGCTGATTCTTCGATGCCGACGTTAGCGATTTCCCTGGGCCAGTGGTCTGCAAACTCATTAGACAACAGAGCCAAATGTCAACAGTACAACGATTGAAATTTCTTTTGAGAGCCAAATTTTTTAAACTTAAACTATATAGGTAGGTACACTGTTATTAACTTAATTAGGGTACTCCTAAGGCTTAGGAAGAGCCACACTCAAGGGGCCAAAGAGCCGCATGTGGCTCCCGAGCCGCAGTTTGCCGACCACGGCCCTGGGCTGACAATAAAGGGACGTTTCCTAATTCCTCAAACGAGGCCTCTCGGTAGCAATTTCCTTTACCTGACACTTCATTATCCCACAGAGGAGTCACTGTAAGACTCACTCGGTCCCTCAGTAAAAACACCTTCCGCGTCCCACCCCCCACCCCGAGCCGCAGGGCCTGGGGACCAGTGCTAACAGTCCCTCCCCTGATCCTCCCGAAGTGAGTTTGGGGCCCTTACTCCCTCCTAAAGCTGCAGCCCGTTGTCTCCCTCCTCCCTCCCTCCTCCTGTCTCAGGCGAGGAGGGTGGTTTCTCTACTTCAAATTACAGCTCCAAAAGGAGCCTAACTGCATTTTAATGCCTCAGGTCGCCCTATCGTGTGGCCACTGGGACTGCACTCGCTTCCCCACGGAACTTCCATTTCACACAACATTCAAGGAAATGGTTCGACTTAACCTACACGTGCACATGGACATGCGAGTGTGCAGGTGTGCACAATATGTGCATGTGCATGTCCACTGTGTCTGCACATGTGCGTGTTCGTGTGTGCGCGCATGCGTGCTTGCATCCTGCACTCAGCACCGTGCACGCTAAAGAGCCCAGCGAGGACCCAGTGCCATCTGATGCCCCTGACGCCGGGACCTCCACCCGCTCCATCTTTCAGAGCCGGCCGTCCCCAGGGAAGTGGTGTGTTAGGGAGTTTGCTCGGACTCCGTGAAGCCACAGGTAGGACCTGCCAGCAGCTCAATCGCTGTCGAATGGAGGGCAGGACATTTCCTCTCCTTAGTGCCGATGGGGCTTCGACAGAAAACCTGGAACTCGTTTATGGAAACAGGCACACGCCCATGAAGGGCTGCAGGTCATAAACGCGCTGGTCTGGGGCCTGAACCCTCGCAAAGTCCTTTCCAATTCCTCGCGTCCTCTCAGCTGCACTGCAGCTCAGCTGAGCAGGCGCGGAAACCTTTTTCTTCTCCTCGTTTAACACACAGAGGACACTGCGTCCCAGACCGAGACCGAGCCGCTGCTGCAGGGCCCCGGCCCTCGGTCCCGTCGTCCACCCTGGAGGGCGGGCCTTGGGCTTCTGGATGGCGATGACTTGGGGCTTATTTTGTTTTTCCCTCATTTTTCTGGCCGGTGTCACTTAGCGACATCACTTAGCAACATCGCTATGTTAGCACAACGCCCCGCTTTTCAGGAGAAAGCTGGTGTCTGCTGCCCCTCAATGTTCTCATCAAGATTCAGAAACGGTTAAAATGGGAAACGTCACGTGTTTCTGAAGTCGGTTCCTAATCCTGTGATTCTCCAAGTGAGAAACGGAGTGAGAATGAGCTCAGCTTCCCTGTGAGGCTCCCGATCACTGCAGTCTCAGCGCAAAAATCCAGGACAGTGCCTTGCTGACCGCACCGTCTCAATGTTGCATCTTTTTTTAAATATTTACATATGTTTTTAATATATACTTGCATTGATTTCCGAGAAGAAGGGAGAGGGAGATAGAAACATCCATGATGAGAGAGAATCACGGATCGGCTGCCTCCTGCACGCCCCACACTGGGGATGGAGCCCGCAGCCCGGCCTGTGCCCCGACCAGGAATGGAACTGTGGACCCCCCGCTCTCCGCCCCCCGCCCTGGTCCACAGGCCGCGGGCGCCCACCTGATCTTGTTGAGGATGTCCACGCCCGACTGCTCCAGCAGGACGTTCTTCACGAAGGTGCGGGGCACGGAGAGCTTCTCAGAGCCGGCGTGGATCAGGTCCTGCCGGATGTGGGCCTTCCTCATCACGTGGGGGCACAGGCTCTCGGCCGCGTCCACCATGGACTCCAGCAGGGCCTGCAACGCAGCGCAGT